AGAGTAGCAGTAAACAGAAGAGTAGGGTAGAATAAAACCATCTATGCCAGCATCAACAGCTGGTTGGAAAACAATTTTGAACATATTGGCTTACCGTGGTCAGCTGTACGCAATGACACCAAACACCGCTCCCATGCATCGTCCATATAGTATTCGTCCAACCCCCAATTTAAGTACCTTTTCAAAATTTTATATCTTTATAAATACGCTATTTTTACGCGTTTTTCATTACTTTTACACTATTCTAGACTTATTTTCACTCACTGATCGTTGAAAACCGAAATCCCAGAATTATCGTAAACCGAGCCTTTAGGTAAAGATGCCTTGCTCACACGATGAAGTCGGCCGTACCAAGTCAAAGGGCTAGATCGAGAACATCTGAGGGATTGATGTAAAGGCAAAACTTGTTCTTTGCGCATGTTTTTCTTGCGGAATAGCCTTAGGCAGAAGGAACAATCTTGTATTCTCCATAGTGGATTGAGGAAAGTCAAGCCAACGCCTGATACCTAACGATATTCGAGTACTTGATCGGCTCGGTTGAGTAATGGCAATGAAAGTAATGGTTTTTGCCAAGAGTAAGACTGAGATCCGTTGTAAATTAGCAGTGATGGAAAGTGGTTTTTACCTGCTCGAGGACCTTGGCAACAGCCTGCTGGCGAGTCATTCTTTCTTTACTTATCAGATAGGCTGCACAGAATGCCGGAGCCCTGTAACAAGGGATTTTTTCAGCATAACTATAAGTACTGTGTAAGAAAAGAGGGAGCTCACCTATTCCTTCCTTTCGCACTACAAACAAGTACCGATTTCCCGGCTTTCCGTCCCCTTTCTACAAGATCACAAAACTGGTCGAATAGCACAGTCATGTTGATCTTTGACTGAAAATATTGACATTTCGCTCGAACATTTACTTATTGTTGCGTATATGTTTGCAAGTGACACCTCGCTAATGTCAATTTGAGTGCAGAAATCTGTTTTTTTGCTATACTTCTTTCAAAACTTGGGTATATATGATTTCAGTTATTTTTGCATAAAACTACACTCTATAGAAAGTGGTAGCTTACATCGATACATTTTTTCTCGGTTTCCGGCACATCCATTGCTACAAAATACCGGAAGTGTTGCGATCGACGAGGACAGAGACACGGACAGTCGTACCGCCTCCTAAAATTTTTCAGAATTACAGCTAGTGAGATTGTTTTGTGATAATAAGAAGAAAGAAATCATCAAAGGAGCTCTGATTTTCGCCTAAAAAGCGTATCAATCACAAATTCACTTGTGTGAAAGCGTGTAAGCAGCAAAACGGGGTGGCCAGCATAGATTCTGGGCTTGGCGCCATAATTCGTTGGAAATCTC